AGATGGTAAAGGGAAACCTGAAGCTGTGACACACTCCGGGCCTATATACGTAATAATTCGTAGTGAAAAGCATTCTTCCTCTAATGCAGAGACTCATGCCACAGACATACATAGACTTTTTAAAACATGTGCTTTCAAAAAGTTTATGTAAACTCGAGAAGGTTTTGTAAAACCCGTATTTATTTTTACTTGCGATGTTGGTCCCGACGAAAATCCACGATACGAGCGAGTGAGTTTCAGCTATACAACATTTTAAAAATTTTGACTTGGATGCTATTTACATTGCCACAAAGGCTTCAGGAAGAAATGCTTTCAACAGAGTGGAACGACGAATGGTGCCTCTTAATCGCAAACTTACTGGCGTTCTATTAAAACATAGCAATTTTGGTTTACATTTCGATTTCAGTAATCGAACTACTGATTTGGAGTTAGAAAAACGAAACTTTAAGAGTGCAGGTATTATGCTGACTAATACTTGGAGCCAATTGGTCATTGATAATTTTGGTGTGGTTGCCAAATACATTGTGCCAACATATACTAGATTGGATATTAAATAGCCTAAGGTATTAAAAAATGATGCGATTTGGTATACAAATCACAATATCTTTATAAATGGTAAAATATAGGGTTCTACCCTGCTGTGGTGTGCGACGATCTGGCCTTTGACGATTATTACAAGAGGGGTTTTATCACCACCTGTTTTTGTTAAACAGACGTCAAACGGGTATGTAACCATAGAAAAAGATAACTCTCAAGGTAAATTTGCTCCACTGTTACTTTAGCTATCTTTGGATCTTCATGCATCATCACATTTGAAGCAAATTCCGTATGATAGCTATTGTCCCAGTATCGAGGCATACTTGTCAAAGCGATCGTGTGGCATCTGTGGTCTATATTTTGCATCATATAAGGCCACTAATCAACACCAAGCAATCACGTAAGAGATAAAGAGAAGTTTTGCCAATCGCCAAAGATTTATTCTCAAAGAATTGCTGCTAGACGTGCCAGAGAAATTCTTTGTTTGAATAACGATTATGCCATTTGGATGGATGAAAAAAATGTTGACACAACGAATGTTCCTAGCAATAAAAACCCAAACGAGATCGAAGTGACTGCTATGCAAGTTATAAATAATTTAAAGAAGTGGGTTCAAACTCCATGGACTCAAGATGAATAAGTTTGAATATTTCAATAATATAAATAATCGTTTTTTGTTTTGTTAATTTTTTCAAATGTTTGATTTTATTAAATCGGCGAATCTATAAGTAAAGAAAAGTTTTGGTGTTCCACAAAGCACGGTTTTAGGACCGTTGCTATTTTTCATATACATAGTGATTTTTTAAAAAGGATCCTCCCTCGATAACTTCGTTCTCGTCTTGATTCAGGTAAAATCCAAAAACAGGTCAATTTTTATCCTTAGGGGGACACATTTTTAGAGCACAACTGATTTTGTCGGATCAACCCCATGGCCCCACTAGCCCCCACCTCTAAAACCTTCAATAGCAAGGGGGGCCGAGTGACACCTCGTTGGAATGATTTTTGCATTTACCATACTACCATGACCATGTAAGAATTATTTCGTTTTGTACAGGGTGGTTCAAGAAAAAAAGACAAATTGCAATAAATAGACTTAAATTACATACATCATAATAGATTCTTAAAATGACCACCGTTGAGAATAATAGGAATCCTTCCTTATTCAACAATTTATCTCCTGTCGTAAATTCACTTAAATTTTTTGCTTCCGTTATTAAAGACGGTTGATGAGTGATATCGCGCTATCGCTCTTTTTGTATGCATTTTTATCTGCAATTTTTTGCGCATCTTTACAAGCCGTTTTGACGGATTAGATTTAATCCAAGTAGTTTGCAGTCCGTTGGTATGTCAATTGATTTATTCCCTGTAAAATAGTTTACACTATTGCCGAGCTGGTAGAAGTTATTTTCATTTATGGTAAGGAGCAGAATTGTGCCCGCGCCACTGCCAGAGTTTTTAATGCGAGACATCCAGATAAGCGAATGGAGCACAAATATGTCTCGCAACTTGTGCGAAAGTTTCAAACAACAGGATTGGTGAAAAATATGAAAAGAGAAGGTAACATAATAGTTAATGAAATGGCTCAGATTGAAGTGGTGGGGAACTTTACTTTCGATCCAACCAGTTCTTTGCGTCAGATTGCTACGACCACTGGACTTTCGTATTCATCGGTACGCAAAGTGACAAAACTTTTTAAATTCCTTCCATATAAATCTTGTACTTGAGCTTGTACTTGAGCAAGATAAGGCACCACCTCACTTCGTTGTGAATTTTCGGAACTGGCTGAATCAGAGATTTCTGCATCATTGGATTGGCAGGCGGGGAGCAATAGAATGGCCTCCTAGCCATCAGATTTGACAGGACCAGATTTTTTCCTCTGGGGGCACCTAAAATCTGTTGTCTTCAAAACTCAACCAGCAGATTTAGTGGAGTTGCGACAACGAATAACTGACGCATACAGAAGAATCCTTAGAGAAACCTTTCAACGGGTGAGAGAGGAATTTGAAAACTGCCTTTACTACTGCACTTGTTGTGATTTTCCTTCCTTTTACTCTAATCCGTTTCTTCTCGTTTTGTAAACAATTAATACGATTTTTATTCCAAAAACTAACCAATTAGAGCGCAATGTAAATCTATTTATTGCAATTTGTCTTTTTTCTTGAACCACCCTGTACAAAATGAAATAATTCTTACATGGTCGTATGGTAAATGCAAAAACCTTTTCAACGAGGGGTCACTCGGCCCCCCTTGCTATTGAAGGTTTTTGAGGTGAGGGCTGGTGGGGCCATGGGGTTAAACCGGCAAAATCAGTTATGATCTAAAAATGTGTCCCCCTAAGCATAAAAACCTGTTTTAGGATTTTACCTGAATCAAGACAAGAACGAAGTTATCGAGGGTTGATCCTTTTCAAAAAATCTAAATGGGTTACTTACCCAAAATTTTGTGGGAAAAGTTTATAGTTTTGCCGACGATATTGCAATCTTGTATTCCTCTGATTCATGGGAAAATTTAAAAACTGTAGCTGAAAATGATTTGGCAAGAGTAATTAACTGGTTCGAACATCACCTATTGACTATAAACTTCCAGAAAACTTACTTCATTTCATTTGCGAGCTACGAGAATCACTTACCGTCTTACACCTTCCTTAATATACCTGGAAAACATTAAAAAATTCATGTTAAAACTAACAATAAATACTTAGGAATAACTGTAGACTCACATCTGAGATGGGACCACCACATCCTGCAGGTAACAAAAACTTTAAGAGTCATGATGTATAAATTTAAATATTTTAGTAATTTACTACCGTTAAAACAATTAAAAATATTATATCATGCATTCATAGAATCACGACTTCTATATTGTATTTTATGTTGGGGGGGGGGGGGGAGGGTTGCTCGAACAGCCACCGGCGCAGACCTGCGTAGATTAGAAGTTTTACAAAAAAAGATCTTAAAAATAATCTAATAATAATCTACAACAAAACCATGGATATACTCTTCAGATTTAATTTTTCAAGAAAGTAATGTATTTGATATCAGGTAGTTGTTTTACTTTAATATTATAATATACACCTAAAAAAATAAGTCTCTCCTACAAAATAGAGCTCATTCTTATGATACACGTCAAAAAGGCAATAATTATGTCGCTACAATTTCAGGAAGAAAAACAATAGGAATGAAATGTTATACTTACCTTTCAGCTAAATTTTTTAACAACCTACCTGAAATTTATAAAACCTTTTTTCTGACGATAAATATTCTAAATTTATTCAAAAAATATCTTAGGAAATATATTTATTTAACAGACATCTTATCCACCATATGATAAATAACTATATTACATTGAGTTTGTATTCTATATTTAAATATTAATTTTACATATTATATTATATCCCTTACACAACCGTTAAGGTTTCTTAGGGATTCCTATTTATTTTATGTTTGTAAACCTTTAGGTACACATTTAATTAACTATATTGTCCTATCATGGTATTAATTTAAGATTCTTATTATTTGTTAATTAAGCTTTAAACTATATCTTGTATTTACATGGTACACAAAAAGAACAATGAGAAATGAGAAATAAACATTATTATACTAAATATTTTAATATGTAGTAACCAAAAAACGAAAAATACTGTAAAACCTGTTAATGTTTTCTGGCAAAATAAACATTTATTATTATTATTAAAAATAATTTGAATTGAAGTAAAACTAATTTCGGAACTGCTGTTTTAATTTAATAATGTCTAGATGTAAAATTGCAAAATATGTGAAGTCACACTAGGGAGGGGAGTCTTACAAATGTGGCCAGCTGTGACTATTACAAGGAAGCGGTCAAAAAATCATAAAATTCATGTAACGTAATTTATGCCCCTGAAGCATCGCGCGGCAACTTTCTGTCTCAACTGCCAAAGTGCTACTTTATGCTCTTAATACACAAAAAGCTATTTTGTTACAATAATTTTATAAACTTTTACCTAGCTACTAGCTACTGATAAAGTGTTATTGCCCCTCTCATTAATGAATCGTGCTAACAAATGAATTGAAAAAAAAATCTTACAATTTTCCATCTTTTAACAGTTACCAAAGTTAGGTACCTACTACAATACAAATATTTAAGACCGGCTCAGAACATCTCCCTACTCCTTTCACCCAGTTTTTTGGTTTTGGGTAAAATTCGCGCATTAGCAAATGCTTTCTATGTTACCTTACCCTTTCTAACCTCTTTGGAAATGCCTAATTTTACAACTTCGGTGCAACTCACCTATATTAAATCCCGATTTATAATTCAGATGCTATAATGGTAGTAAAATATTGAATAATGCTTAATCACAAATCAAGTCATTTGGTTAAATTAAACACGATTTCACAATCGTTTATTTAATCAGAGAAAAAAGTACCGGACATTAATATTAAAAAAGATACTTTTATATCCAGATATATATTCTACATAATTATTAGCAAATATGTTTTTATCATTCAAATTATACAATATAAAAAATAAAATATTGAAATATTTTAATATAATATGCATAATGTTTTTACTTATAATGGAGTATGAAGTATATAAGGGGTGGAAAACCATCTAAACCATATACAAGTTGACAATCTAAAATCATCATGAAGATCGCAGTACTTGGATTTGTTTACTTTGTTCTTATTGTAAACGCTTTAAGTAGTCCAGTAGAAGAGGTGCAGGCTGAAGGTAAATTGTTATTAATTTTAAGTTTTTTTCAGAAATAAATGTAAAGTATTTTTTCTTCTCTTTCAGTTTGTCTTCTATGACTTAAGCTGATATTTTATTAAAAGGCTTTCCCTTTCTTTTTATATCGGCCCTATTCAAGCAATTTTACTTTTGTATAGATCTTTAATCTTTAGAGTAGTTGCCAGTTTATTTTATAAATATTTTCGATCAAATACCCTCAGAAAAATCAAACAGTGTTGAATCCGAAGATTTGGGAGGCCAATTCAATTGAACTATGGTAGAGATAATGTGACCAGGAATTTTTTTTATAATATAGTTAAATAGTTTCCCCAATAAGTGATTCTAATGAATCCTCCAGGCAGAATTTTCCGGGTTTACCTCACCTGTTAGTCAATTGGTACCCTTAATCATATGTAAGTCGCTCCGGAGCGCCACGGCAAATAAGGTGGTGAATTATAGGGAGCGTATTAAAATTATTATTATTTCATGAATTCACTAAATATGTCTATTGACGTATCAAATTGAACTTTATTCCAAACAATTATTTATTAGAAGATCTGATAAAACTTTTGTGTTTTGTAAACAAAAGTTCTTGTATTAACTAAATCTGACATGCTTTAAAAATATATATTTTGTTTAAATATTTTGAGTATTGCCTATAACTAGGTACATAGTTGATTCTTCAGGCACTCTGTCACCCACTAGAACAATATTTTAACCTGATCTATCAATTTATTAACACTACACCTTTCCTATGTCTAATCTGTTGAAAGTTCAAACAACAACTGTAAGAAATATAAAATTCAAAATTCTATAGAATAAACATTCAATGGTTTAAATTTTTGTTTCAGAACATAGCCGAGTCAAAAGATTCTCCTGTGACGTATTGGGTTCTATTCAGGCAGGACCTGTTAAACTAAACGATGCTGCATGTGCCGCTCGTTGCCTTTTGCAGCGCCACAAAGGAGGATATTGTGACAACAAGAGACAATGCCACTGCAGATAAACCAATCTAGATATTATTTGTTATATACAATTTATATATACATACTATAAATCTAATAAAATCTAAAATGTCGCTCTATTAAATATTTGTTTCTGGTTAGTACCACATCAGTATCTCTATATCTTTTTACATTGATTTCCGACTATGAAAAACAGTATGCAGTATTAGGTAGGCAAGCCTCATAAAGGGTTAGATTGTAAACGTTAAGTTTTCTTGAGTAATATAATAGACTTATGTCACAGCTAGGTATCTGGAATACAGCTTGTAAATCAAACGTAACTGAGAAGAAATATGGGTCGTTATTAGATCTGTTTTCATCATTATCCTTCTTAGTATTACTGTCGTTTTTCCGTTTTATGTGATCTCTGTAGTTGGCCACAAATTCTGGTGTTGTGTGTTTTGTCCTGCATTTTACTATGTGCATAATAAACATTGATCCTTTTTAGGAACAATAAAGCTGACATTGTATTCATTGACAAATATTCTGCGATAAGTTATTTCCGAAGCTGGCTGAGTATTATTTTTCATACACTTCTCTTTGTACATCAAATACATTTTACGGATGCTGAGATATTTGTCTAAATACTTACATTTTGAATCTTTTCTTGTGTAATGGGGTTCCATAACAGGAAAAGATTCAATGAGTGATCTAATCTCTAGGAAGGCATCAGGTTTAGTTTATTAGGTAGCTCATTGGAACCTCTTTTGTCTTTTTTTTTTAAACGGTTAATATAATTTCTCTTTTTTATTGTGTCGACTATTAAACCGGGTGCAATACTTAATGTTTTACAAAAAAAGTTTTGACATGCTTGCAGAGGTACATTTTTAGACAAGTAACATTTCTTGGTATGTGATCTTTGTGGTCGCTGACCTCGTACAGCGAGAACCCTCTTTGGTGGATATACAGTTACATTAGCTAAAATAAAATTCTTTCTGCCCTTAAAATCCAAACTCCAATAATGCTTACATATTTCTTTCCTACAATCTTCAGAAAATCTCTCAGAACATTTAAACTTACAACTCGAGCAATTTACTTTTTTTGGTACTTTAGCAGGCCTGTCCTTATAACGTGTTTTGTACGTCAAACCTTCTGTTCGTCTCTTTTTCTTAATATTTTCAACCCAGTAGCTTGGATCTGCTTTCCACCATATTTTGCGTGGTTGCACAATTTTCCAAGTTCTCTCCAGAATTTCTGTTAATAAATCGTCTATAATCGTCTTTGCTTCAGTGTTTTCATTTTTTTTTTCATTGCTTTCTTCGTTTAAGCTTTTCGAGTCCTGCACAGAAGCCAAAGCAATGAAACTAGTTTATACATTCGAGGTGTTAGGATAGTATGTTGGATCATCAATATCTGAAATATCAGCAAATAAGCCGTCCCGATTTGTTTGGGTACTGTCGTCAGAGTCATCTACTTCTTCCTCTGAAATGACATCAAAAGAATTCATTGTGCCAGCAAACAAATAATTTTTTTGATTTGTAATGCAAACCTTATTTTAACTTCAATCTACGGTGTGACAATTTACTGGGCTATATCTCACAAACCAAATATTATATCAAAAAATGCCTAAAACAGTTTCTAGGATAGGAAGGAGGAACTAAAATGACATAAAAAAGAACTCACCCCAATCGACGCTAATCAAAGATAATGTAATTAATAATTAAATACACAACATAACATGAATCTAAATATATCTACATTTTGCACTTACAACAACAGTCTGAGTATTAATATTTGTTTGCATTATTACTAACTTAATTTGGTTATAAATGCAATATGGAGATATTTTAAATTATTGTTATGTGTTGCATTGAATTAATAATAAAATTAGCTTTCAAATGAAGTGTCACCCTATACAATACGTAACAGTTTTTTATTCCGCTAGAGGGCGTTTTAATAAAAAGTACTGCAAAGAACATTTATATTGCTGAATTCCCAATAAAATTATCTTTTAAATGATGTGCCATACAGGGTATACCCTTTATTTAAAACGTTTTCCTTTAAAAACCATTTTATGCACACTTTTAGTAAAGTATAGAAATCAAAAATCTCAACAAAACATTAAAAAATATAGTAGTACTTAGTTGTCAAAACACACGGTTAAAACAATAAATTTTTAGGTTAAATATAATATTTATTTTATTTTACTCGTCTGCACTCTTCCAGGCGGCAGAACGAAATGGGTCGCCTTGAGTGCTACAGTGAAATCAAGCTGTTAAATCATGGTCACGTATTGATCTATTATTTGACTTAATTATTAATAATTGTTATTATCAGAGGTGGGATTCGCTCACTAAAAGTACCACGGAAGTACCTGGGGGTTGACTATTCCTGTGAGTATTTTTAAGATTATGAATTCGTTACATTTATCAGTTGATTGATTGTTAAGATTGTTATGTTTGTTATTACACATATTGGCGAATACAATTTTTGTATTAATTCCTTAAATTTACAGTTGATTGATTGTTTAAGATTGTTATTGGCCATATTGGCGACTGTCCTTTTTTGTGTTCATTCATTAAATTTGTCAGTCGACTAATAATTGTTCGAAATTGTTATTGGCGATATTGGTGGTATTCATTTGAAATACCGTCATATTGTAGGGGTAAAAAATTGTATGTAGCCGATCAAAATGGTATTTTTGTGTTTTAAGCATCTGAGTGGTTACAAGTGTCTTTATTTGTAGCCTTTTAATTTTGGTAGAAATTCGATGAAAAAAAAAAATGTTTTCTTCATTAAATGGAATTTAAATTATCTCTATCAATAACCGGCTGAGAGAAGTTTAAACAAACAAAACGCAGAGAAACTTAAACATTTATTGTTAAATTTGTTTAAGTTTGTAAATAATTATTCAACAAAACATACCACTGAGTTAAAAATAAAGCTATCTAGTGACCAACGTCATTATCATACGTACCATTTGTCGGCAACGAGAAGAGAACATAAATATTCCTTTTCATACAATTTGTTTTGATTGTGGTGAGCCGTGATTTAAAATAACAAATAACCATAAATGGTTTTAAACACGCTTTATTTATCGACAATGATATCAGGAGATGTAATTCTACACCCTTTAAAAAAAACGTTAACCAGAGCAGAAATGACTAAAACATTAGAGAATTATATAACGATGTTTGACACGTATTATAATTAATCGTGGAACAAATTTTACCAATAAAAAATCTTTATTTGTAAATATTAATATTAAGCGTCATTAAATTATAGCAGGGGAGCTATTAGGAAAATTTATCAGAATGGTCGAGCGCTCTTTCCAAATTACGATTAACTGTTAATTCTACCATTCGGAAAGTTGAGTACAGGTCAGATTAATATTGTTTTCATGTTAACAGAAAGTCAAGTACAGGTCAGATTACTCCTTGAGGAGTATCTCTGAACTTAACGATGTATTTATGTCACCAGAAAGTCAGGTACAGGTCAGGTTAATCCCTGAGGAGTACCTCTGAACTTCTCTACTGTTTTTTAGTTAGTAACAAAGTTAAGTAAGTTAAGTACAGGTCAATTAAATATCTGACGAGTACATCTGAACTTCCTTTTGCTTTTATGAGTAAAAAAAAGATAAGTAGAGGCCAGTTAAATATTTGAGGAGAAGTCACTCTGAACTTTAATTTAAAGTTTTTTTTGTGATTAAAGAAATTAAGTATAATAGGTCAGCCAAATATCTGAGGAGTACCTCTGAACTTATTGCTTTTATTTTGTCTGCTTAGCCCAAATTTAATGAAATTTTTTGAAATATTAAATATAGTACAAGCGTTATGTTTTATAAATGTGGTCTGATAAATGGTATGAGGAATCCGAGATTATAGGAACCGTTACCTAACACCAAATGGAAAAAGCAAGAACAGTCTGATTGGCTAATATCCAACGAAATATTGGCAAATGAGGAATTACTCAAAAAAGAGCTATTGCAGTTATGTAAACAACATTCACCAAAATTTAAGAAGTATAGTGTAGATGAAATAGCAATAGAACATGTAG